TGGAGCCACTGCCGCAGAGACGTATTAGGAATGGCAGATGGATTACTGTAGGATCTGGTAGACTTAGAGTTGTGGATAAAAGGCATATTGCACAGTCTGTTGCTCTACATAATTCATTTTCTGCACTTTCAGAGTGTAATGGTATTATGGAGACAGGCTCAGGCACCAGGTGCAATGGTGTTATGGAGACAGGCTCAGGCACCAGTTGTAGTGGTGTTATGGAGACAGGCACTGAGGGTAGTGGTGTTGTGGAGACAGGCTCAGGCACTGAAGGTAGTGGTGTTGTGGAGACAGGCTCAGGCACTGAAGGTAGTGGTGTTGTGGAGACAGGCTCAGGCACTGAGGGTAGTGGTGTTGTGGAGACAGGCTCAGGCACTGAGGGTAGTGGTGTTGTGGAGACAGGCTTGGAGACTATGGTGAGGTCTAATAGAAAGCAGTTGTTGTTGGGGGATTCTATCATAAGAGGAGTGGAGCTGGACAATGGTGGTCTTGTGAGATGTCTTCCCAGAGCTCACAGAGACAGGAGACATATTTGTAATATTGTTAAGCAAGCAAAGCAGGAAGGGGAATTGGATATACTTGTCCACAGGGACTTGGCTTGCAATGAGGTTTTAGAGGTAAAGGACGTCTTTAGTGTTTTTGCCAATGACATACGGCAGGTTGCTTCACCACTGTCATTCTCTGAAGTTCTGCCTGTGCATAACACTCCGAATGATAGGCGGATGCGTATTAGGGACTTTAACTTGTGGCTTGGTGAATGGTGTAGGGAGCAAGGATTTGGCTTTATTTCTCAAGGTAGCTCTGTTTGGAATGGAAATAAACTGTACAAAAAGGATGGTTTGCATTTTTCTTAAAAGGGAACAAATGTTCTCAGTGAGCAGTTCAGAGATTTTGCTAGGATGTATTATTATTATTATTATGATATTTATAGAGCGCCGTTAAATTCCGCAGCGCTTTACAATGGGTGGACGAACAGACATGTAGTTGTAACCAGACAAGTTGGACACACAGGAACAGAGGGGTTGAGGGCCCTGCTCAATGAGCTTACATGCTAGAGGGAGTGGGGTAAAATGACACAAAAAGGTAAGGATAGTATTAGACTAGTGACAGTTGCAGAAGAGGAATCAGTCAGGAGCTATTAACAGTTTAATTGATACGCTTTTATGAAGAAGTGGGTTTTTAACGATTTTTGAAGGAGTGGAGACTGGGTGAGCATCTAACGGAGGAGGGAAGCGAGTTCCACAGGAACGGTGCAGCCCTCGAGAAATCTTGAACATCAGAGGTGGGAGTACGGACAGAAGATAGACGTAAGTCTTCAGCAGAATCGTAAGGGCCTAGACGGGACATACTTGTGTATAAGGGAGGATAGATAGGTGGGAGCAGCATTATGTAGAGATTTGAAAGCAAGAACCAGAATTTTAAATTGAGCTCTATATTTTATAGGAAGCCAATGTAGGGACTGACAGAAGGGTGAGGCATGGGAGGTGCGGGCGGACAGGAAGATGAGCCTCGCCGCCGCATTCATTATGGACTGTAACGGCGCTAGTTGGGAGCACGTAAGACCACTGAGAAGCGGATTACAGTAGTCAAGGCGAGAAAGGACAGTGGAATGGACCAACACCTTAACCGCATCTGGCGTTAAGTAGGGGCGGATGCGCGCAATGTTTTTGAGATGGAAATTATAGGATTTGGCGATAGATTGAACATGAGGCTTGAAGGAGAGGTCGGCGTCAAAGAGAACACCTAGGCAGCGAGCCTGCGTGGTGGAGCTGATGGTAGCACCGTTGACTTGGAGGGAGACAGACACAGGAGTAACAACACTTGAGGGAGGAAAGACCAGAATTTCAGTTTTGGTCAAGTTTAGTTTAAGGAAGTGGGCCATCCAGTTAGAAACAGCAGAGAGGTAGTCAGAGACACTAGTCAAGAGGGACGGGGAGAGATCAGGAGAGGACAGGTAGATTTGCGTGTCATCTGCATAGAAATGATATTGGAAGCCAAAGGAGCTAATGAGTTTACCAAGGGAGGCAGTATAGATGGAGAACAGTAGGGGACCAAGGACTGAACCTTGGGGGACACCAACAGAGAGGAGTTGGGGAGAAGAAGCAGAGCCAGAGAAAGAAACACTGAAAGAGCGCTGGGAGAGGTAGGAGGAGCACCAGGAGAGAGCAGTATCTTGTAGACCGATATTGCGGAGGATGAGAAGAAGCTGTTGATGATCAACAGTGTCAAAAGCCGCAGACAGGTCAAGGAGAATTAGGATAGAGTAGTGACCACAAGATTTTGCAGCAAGTAGATCATTGGATACTTTGGTCAGTGCTGTTTCCACAGAGTGCTTAGCACGGAAACCAGACTGAAGCAGGTCTAGCAGAGAGTTGGACTCGAGGAAGTCTGTCAATCTCACATACACAATTTTTTCAAGGAACTTGGATGCAAAAGGCAGTAGCGAGATAGGACGATAGTTGGATGGGGAGTTAGGGTCAAGATTGGGCTTCTTTAGAATTGGGGTTACAGTTGCATGTTTGAAGGGCAATTGAAATATACCAGAGGAGAGAGAGAGATTGGGAATTTTAGCGAGAGGTGGAGAAAGAGAAGAAGACAGAGAATGGATGAGATGCGAGGGAATTGGATCTAGGGAGCAGGTGGTGGGGCGGGAGGACTGGAGCAGAGCAGAAACCTCTTCCAGTGTAGCGGGTGCGAATGAACATAGAACAGCAGAGGGAGTGAAGTTAGGGGAAGTATTGTAAGGGGAAGAAGAAAGATGAGAGATCTCTTCTCTGATTGTAGAGATCTTGTCAGTGAAGTGAGTTGCAAAGTCTGAGGCGGTCAAGTTAGTAGGTGGAGGAGGAACAGCAGGGCGAAGAAGAGAGTTAAATGTGTGAAATAGTCGTTTGGGTTCGCGGGAGAGTGTGGTTATGAGGGTATTGAAGTAATTAACTTTTGCAGAGGAAAGAGCCAAGCTGTATGAGCTCAGCATACATTTATAGTGGAGAAAGTCAGATGCACAGTGAGACTTTCTCCAACAGCGTTCAGCAGTTCTGGAGCATTTTTGGAGGTATCGAGTGAGCTTGGTGTGCCAGGGTTGTTGTTGGGGGGGCCTGCGGCGTATAAATGTACAAGGTGCCATGATGTCTAGTTGAGAGGAGAGGGTGGAATTGTAGAAGGAGGTTGCAGAACTAGGACAGGTGAGGTTTGAGGTAGGTAAAAGGAGAGTTTTGAGATTAGTGGAGAAATGCTCTAGGTCAAGACATTGGAGGTTTCTGTGAGAGTGATGTTCAGACAGTGGTGTCAATTGGGTCTTAGGTATGCCAATGTCAAAAGTCAGCAGATGGTGGTCAGATAGAGGAAAAGGAATATTGGAGAGATTAGAGGCAGTACAGAGGTTGGTGAAGGCAAGATCAAGAGTGTTTCCCGCTGTATGGGTTGCTAGATTGGACCATTGCGTAAGGCCAAAGGAGGAGGTTACAGAGAGCAGACGAGAGGCATCAGTGCAATTGGGGTTATTGATTGGGATATTGAAATCCCCAAGTATAAGGGAAGGAGTGCTAGATGAGAGGAAGTGGGGAAGCCAGGAAGAAAAGTGCTCAATGAATAGTCTAGGATAACCGGGGGGGCGGTAGATGATAGCAATTCTTAAAGGAATGGGTTTTTTTTTTTTGATTTGACAATTTTTATTTTGCATTAAAGAGGCATGGGGGAGGGGGGGGTACAAAAGGCAAAAAGGGGGGGGGGGAAGTCATGCAGTTCGTCTTGAGAGTATCATGGATACAGTGGGGTGGCATGGGGTGCAGTGCATACACAAGACATTTCAGTGTCGAGTGGTTTATTACACAAGTTAGTTGACCTGTTGTGCCCAAGATTTGTATGGTTTCATAGTGATTATACATCAGCGTAACTTCAGGGTCACATGCCATCACTTCCTGGTCCAAGTGACCTTGTCTCATATTCAAATTCTTGTCGCTCAGTGGTGGTTCCGTAAGGTGCGGGTTGGTGGGGGCAGGTTGGGTCGGGGGGGGGGGGAAAGGGGAGGGGGTAGGGTGTGTGCGTGTGGGGCGTGTTGTGTTGGTGTGTGATTGGTGGGGGTATGTGGTGTGCATACTGATGTGTGTCTCAGTGGGTATGTGTGTGGGCCAGCCAGTCAGGGTGTGGAGGTTACGTGTTCCTCCAGTCGGGGAGGTGCGTTGTCTTGGTCGCATGGTTGTGGATGTCTTGTGTGTCAGCTTGGTTTGGTTTTGTCCCATAGGGCCCATGCTTTGGTCCAGAAGGGTTCGCTCCGTCTGGATTTCCGTGCTGCATTTTCATAAGCCTTGTTTGTTTCCACCGCCTCAATGCATTGGTGGATCGTTGGAGCGATTGTTTGTTTCCACTTCCTGCTTATGACGGTGAGGGCTGCTATACAGATGTGGTATAGCAGATATTTGGTGTGGATTTGGGGTGTTTGGGGGAGCAGAAGCAATAGGAATAGCTCCGGTGTCTGGGGGATGTGTGTCTGGGTGCATCGTTTCGTTAAATCTAGGACTTGTGTCCAGTACTGTTGTAGGAGTGGGCATTGCCACCATATGTGTAGGAAGGTTCCTCGGTCTCTTTGGCAGCGCCAGCATGTGTCGGATGCTGTGGGGTAGCAATGTTTTAGTTTCGTGGGGACTAGATACCAACGGTAGAGAAGTTTGCGTGAGAGTTCCATGTGTGACATGCAGAGGGTCATTTTTTTGTTCGCTTGGAAGATATCCAGCCATTTCTCATCTGTAAGTTTGTATCCTAGATCTCGTTCCCATTTTTCTTGGAATGGTGTGGGCTTTGCTTGAGTGTCTATATGTTCTGAGGTATAGATCAATGAGATTAGTTTTGTTGCCGGTTTTGTCTTTGTGCATATTTCTGTTATTTTAAGCCAGTGTGGATCCGGTGGGTTCTTGTGTCTTCTTGGTTTGTGGAGGTTTGTCCAAGATTGTAGTTGATTGTAGGAGAAGTTTGCGATCATGGGCATTTTGAACTCTCGGCAGATGTCAGGGAATGGTTTGAGGCTGTCGCCCTGTAGTACTTGCGACAGTGTGAGAACACCGTGTCGGAGCCAGAGTTTGTGGTTGAAGTTTGGGATGTGTTGTCGTACTGCTTCTATGGGGGTTGCTGGTGCTAGAGGCGATATGTTCTCTCTCTTCCTGCGGTAGTTGTCTCATATTGAAAGGGTCGTGGCCGTTGTTGGAAGCATTGCTAACTTACAGGGGCGTCGGTTTGCCGGTAGCCAGGCTAGTGTGGGAAGTGTGAGCCCTTCGGTTTTAGATGCTTCCAGTTCGACCCAAGGCAAAGGGTTTGTATGGTTTGAAGCCGCGAGGAGTGGAGCTATCTGTGCTGCTCTGTAGTATTTTTTAATGTCTGGAAGTCCCATCCCTCCCTTGGCGTGTGGTTTGAACATCGTGCTGAGGGACACCCTAGGTTTTTTGTAGTCCCATACAAAGTCATTCAGGATGCGTTGTAGATCTTCCAAGTACTTGTTCGAGATCTTGAGCGGGAGTGTGCGGAACAGGTATTGAATCTTCGGTAATATCACCATTTTAATAGAGGCTATCCGGCCGGGCCAAGATATATATTTGCCTTTCCAGCTTAGTAGTAGGTTCTTGATTTCTGTGGTTAGTTTTGCATAGTTTGCTTTATACAACGAGGTTGTGGAGGGGGTGAGTAGGATCCCTAGAAATTTGAGGTGGTCTTGTCTCCAGTCGTAAGAGAAACTGGCTTTGAGGGTGGTCATTTCCTGAGTTGTGACATTGATGCCCATAGCTAGGGTTTTTGAGATATTCAGTTTATAGTAGGAGCAGGTGCTGAATTTGGAAAGGATTTTGTGGAAGTTGGGTAGGGAGATATGCGGTTGTTCTAGGGTGAGGAGTATGTCGTCCGCAAATAATGACAGTTTGTATTCCCTACTTCCAATTTTAATACCGTGTATACTCGGATTGTCTCTTATCGTTTGTGCGAGGGGTTCTAGTGATAAAATGTAAAGCAACGGGGAGAGGGGGCAGCCTTGTCTAGAGCCGTTGGATATATTAAAGGGTTTGGAGATAAAGCCACCGTTAACCACTCTGGCAGTTGGTGAGGAGTAGAGTGCGGTAATGATCGACAGGAATTGTGGGGGAAATTCAAATTTTTTAAGTACTGCAATGAGAAAGGGCCAGTGGAGCCTGTCAAAGGCTTTCTCAGCATCTAGCGAGAGTAGGACGCTTGGGATTTTATTTCGTTGTATCTCGTAAAGAAGATCTAGGGTTTTCCTTGTGCCATCTGCCCCCTGTCTGCCTCCTACGAATCCTACCTGATCCGACTGGATCAGGGAGGGAATAATGTGTGATAGTCTGTTAGAGAAGATCTTTGCTATGATTTTGATGTCAGTGTTTAGTAGTGATATGGGACGGAGGTTCTGGCATCTGTTAGGGGTTTTCCCTGGTTTGGGTAGGGTGGCAACGTGGGCCATCAGCATCTCGCATGGCAGTTTGCCTGTTTGTATGGCATGGTTGTATATTTTCAATAGATATGGTGTTAGGATTGGTGCAAATTGTTTGTAATAGGTATTGGACAAGCCATCCGGGCCTGGTGATTTCCCCGATGGTAAGGAGGATATGGTGTCTAGAATTTCTTGTGTGGTGATCTGTGTTTGTACATCGTGTTTTTGTGCAGTAGATAGGGTAGGGAGCTGAATATCCGCTAGAAAGTCAGTTATTTCCGTTGGTGTTGGTTGGTGTAATGTCGGATCTGTGTGTAGATTATAAAGGGAATGGTAAAAATCAGCCATACTGTCATTGATGTCTTGTGGGTTGTGTATTTTGTTGCCCGAGGTGGTGACTAAGTGTGGGATTTTAGTTTGTGTTTGCTGCTTTTTGAGCAGTGTGGCCAGATGTTTCCCTGCTCTGTTGCCTTGAGTATATGTTCTCAACTTAAGTTTGGTAAGGGCATGGGCTGTTTTTGCCAGAGCAAGTGAGTTGACTTGATTTGTGATGTCTTTTATTTCCTTCGAGAGGACCTGTGAGGGATGGAGTAGGTGAGCTGTAGTAGTATCTCTCAGTTTACGTAGGAGATCTAAGTATTCTTTGTCTCGCTTCCGCTTCAGGTATGTCGCGCGGCTGATTAGAAGGCCTCTCATAACTGTTTTATGGGCTTGCCATATTGAGAGGATGGAGGCTTCCGAGTTATCATTCGTCTTGAAGTAGTCTTGTAGGTTATTGTTCAATGTCGTTGCGAAGGATTTATCGTAGAGTAATGAATCATTGAGGCGCCAAGGTGGTTTGCCTCGGTGTTGGTATATGGAGTGTAGTGTCATCAATAAAGGGGCATGGTCTGACCATACAATGTTGCCTATAGAGCATGCCTCTACTTGCGGGAGTAGCACTCCGGATATGAGGATATGGTCTATTCTCGAGTAAGTTTTGTGTGTGTTCGAAAAAAACGTATATTCTCTTTCTGAGGGGTGTCTAGTTCTCCATATGTCATATAGGCTGTTTTCGTGTATGAGTTTTGTAAACGCCTTGGCGGATGATTTGAGCGTGAGGTGTCTGGGTGTTGTACTTGGCATGGTGGAGTCCAGACGTGTGTCCATTATGTGGTTGAAATCGCCACAGATGATCCTTGGGTCTGTTGCATCTTCAGGGAGTTTGTTTAGGACCTTGTGTAGGAAATTTCGTTGTTGGTCATTTGGGCTGTAGAGGCACACGAGAACGTATGGTTGTTCATTGATCCTACATTGTAGGGTTATATAGCGCCCTTGGCTGTCTATCTTGACTCTGAGCGTTTCCACCGTCAGTGAGTTATGGAACAGGATGGATACTCCCCTGGATTTGGAGGAGTGTGTGGCGTGGAATTGCATGGGGTAGTCTCTGCTGGCAAATTTAGGGACTTTGCCTGATACAAAGTGTGTCTCTTGTACGCAGATTATGTCGGCTTTCAGTTGTTTTACATCGTCTAGTAGCATGCGTCTTTTGTGTGGCGTGTTGAGGCCTTTGGTGTTGTGCGAGTAGATGATCATGTTTGTTGTTGTGTGGTGTGGTGGGGAGGCGGGGGGGTAGGTGATCTCTCAGGTGTACGTTTTCAAGGCCGGTTCGATTGCGAGTGGTTTACACTGGTGTGCAGGGTTGGGTTGGGTTTGTTGGGGTGGTTGGGGTGGGTCTCGTGGTGGTATGGGAATTTTATACAAAGACCTAGCGGTCTGGTACTCTAGGCGTACCGTGGGGTTTAGGAGCGGGAGCTTCCAATGAAACGTGGCTAATTGGGCTCCTCTTCAAATACAGATGGTTAAGCTGAAACCTCAAAGTCGAGGTCAATGAACATTTAAACATGAATACATAACTATAACAGCATGTAATTTGAAGCATCATTTACATAACAAATAACATTTAATGCCGAAGGGCAAGCAAGTACTTTTCACTTTCCTCACAAGTGGGTTTTATGTCACCTGTCGTCACTGAGTATAGATGAGGTGTCTCATGCCCCCGGGACCCGGTGCGCCTATTTCGTGGGCAGTTGTTTCGCGTGGTGTGTTCAGTGTGTAGTCATGAGGCCTGGTGTAGGTACCAGTGGGGCAGATGGTTGTCGTCCAGGGTGGTCAGCCCCTTTTTTTTTTGTTTTTTTTTTGTTATAAGTTACCTTAGGTACTGTCAGCATGTGTGTTTGGGCAGTTAGTGACTACCTCATAGGCTTCACCCGTGTCAGGCGCGTCTGTCCCCTCGTCTGCAGGCAGTGCGCAGGGTGTTGTGCCTAGCAAGGTTACGGCAGTCGGGGTCTATGTCCGGAGCTGTCCGCCTCCCTTTGTCCCACGTGACCTCCCCCCATGTGGGTGTCGAAAGGATCCCTAGAGGGTCTGTTGTAGCGCATGCGTATCTGGGTAGTCAGACCCCCCGTTTTCAGAAGGTGTTGGCTAGCCTTGGGTATATTTAAATGGTACCTAAGAGGCTAATAAAACACTGGGGGAGATTCTCACACTCCTAGGTTTTAAGCAACTTGTCGCTCTAAGTTAATGTGTTGGGTTACTGTATGCGCTATGCATGCAGTGTAACATCTCTCGGGGGTGGTGGGGAGTTCAGTATTATATACAGTTAGAAGCACAGTGCATAAAAGACATGTGTAAATTAAACCGCAATGAAAGTTAGAGGAATATACAGTTCATGATACTTGCGCAGACTTGCTTGCCGCTTCGAGGGTAACTTAACAGTCCATGTGCTTTGGCCGGCCCGGTGTGCGGTTTTTGGGCCGTTGGGTTTCAGACGGGTTCTCCAATAAATTCCACTTTTCGAGCAGAGTTAAACCGTCCTCCGGGGTCGGGATAATGGTCGTTTTCCCGTTCTTATTGATGATCAGTTTTGTGGGGAACCCCCAGCGGTAGCGTATGCCGTTGGTGCGTAGTGCCGTGGTGGTCCGGAGAAAATCCTTCCTTCGGCGCAGGGTGGCTGATGATATGTCCGGCATGATGCGTACGGATGGAAAGTCTTCGTGTGGGTCCGCCTTGCTTCTGTGGGCACGGAGGACCAGCTCTTTGATGTGAAAATAATGGGCCCTGAGGAGTACATCTCGTGGTATTGAATCCGGCAGGTTCTTTGGTTTCGCCACCCTGTGGATCCGGTCCACTAACAGCATGTCTGCCGGTATGTCGGGGGCATATGCTCTCATAAGGCCCCTTGCGTAGGCCTGTAGATCTTCAGGGAGGACAGACTCGGGAACACCGCGGAGCCGCAGGTTGTTCCTGCGTGCCCTGTCTTCGTGGTCTGCCATGCGGTCCTCCATGAGTGCCACCTTCCGTTGGAGGTCTTGGAGGTGTTCCGAGGTCAGCGTTTGTGCGGCCTCTAGTTCTGTGTGGCGTTTTTCCACCGCCGAGGTCCGGGCCGAGAGGTCTCTCACCTCTCTTTTAATTTGATCGGCCGTCTGCTGCCAGGTCTGGATGAGTTTATCCGCCATTTGTTCCATTGCATGCTCAAAGTGGCTTCTAGTTAGATTTTCCGCAATGTGGAGGTCTGTCAATGTCCCAGAGGGGGTGATCGAGGCGGCTTCGTCTCGTTCCTCGTGTCCGGCTGTCTGTAGCGGGTCCGCCGTGAGGGAGGGTTTGTGACCGAAAAAATTCATTTTTTCTGCCTTCGAGGTATTTTTCTTTGTTTTAGATGCTGCCATTATGTTTTGGGGGAGGTAAGTAGGATTTCAGCTCGGGTGCAGTTATAATTTGTGGAGCCCTCGTGCCGGAGCAAATTTTCAGGCGTCCATCTTGCTCGGCGGTTAGCCACGCCCCCCAAAGGAATGGGTTTAAATAGGCGGACAGTGTGAACTTCAAAAGAAGAAAAGGATAGGGCAGGGGTAGTTATGATTGGTTGAAAAGTACATTGAAGGGAGAGAAGGATGCCTTTAGTCGCTGTTACTGAGACATGGTATAATGAGAAAAATGACTGGGACACAGCAATACCAGGGTACTCTTTATATAGAAAAAGGGGGGGAGGGGTGTGTGACGAGACCAATCTCGCCACATTGCATTGGAGAAGCCTGGTTGCTCGCCTGCTGCCTTTGGACTATGGCCCCCTTTTAAAAGACTCTATTTTTCCATGCAGAAAAGCCATATTCATGCTTTTCTGCCGGTTGTTCGGTATTTTCAATCTACCGAACAACCGTACGAATGACTGGACCACCTGGGAGCTGGAGTGTGCCGGCAATTAACCTCCCTGAAGCTGCGGTTAACCGCAGCTTAATTGATGAATGCTGGGTGGCCGCCGTTCGTATCCCGAACACGAGGTCGCGGCCATTTTAAACCATACGAATGAACAGCGGTGTTCGCCTCTATTTTCATGGAACTAAAATCGGACACAGTTTTGCGCGAACACCGCTGAAGCCGCCGACCTCCCTTCTTGTTCGGTGAAAGCACACGAATGACCCGGTGTTCGGTATTTTTGTGTGAATGTCTTATACCCCAGATAGGAATCCCATGGAGCCCATTCGTATGAAACTGACTGTAAAGACTTTGGCTCCATGGCGATTGAACTGTATTCGTGTAGTCTGAGTGCCATTCACCTAATAATGTGCACTCAGACCTGAGCTATCTGGGGATGTGTTACATGCCTGTGTTTAATGTAGTAAATGTTACTCTATGTATTTTAAAGTATAATGCTGTTTTTGTGTTCCCACGTGGGTAATGGAGTTTTGCCTTTGTCTTGGGAGATAATTGAGTTACTTCCCAATTATCTCCCAGGGCAGAGGGGAGGAAGCCAGGATGCATTGTGGGAATATACTGTGACTGTGTGTCCTTTTTGTATACTTGTCTGTCCCTTGTCACAGTCTCCCATTTGGTCCCCTAGGGGAGTGTCCACCAGGTGGGAGACCTGCATAAAAGCTGGGCAGGTAGCCCTCATTAAACAGACCACTGCTTGACCCTCAACACGGAGCCTTGTCTCGTCTTTGGGGGGATTTACTGTATGCTGCTAAGGACTGATTGCCAGGAGTGTAAGCCGCTTGGAAGCTTTTCCTGTTCGCCTGCTAGCAGCTATTCGTATGGTTCCTGTTCGTTTATTTGAAGTGCTACCTTATTCCCTTGTATGCCGTTCGGGAGTTTGGAGCATTCACTTATTGGCGGTTCATGAGTTTTGGTGATTATTCAGTAGCTGTGCCTGTCTCTGAAAGGGGGATTATCGTCTAAGCGGTTTTTTCCCCTTTTGTGCAAAACGGTCCGTTACAGGGTGGCCCTATGTGTGAAGGATAGTGTAGCAGAGACCCTCTGGCTGTCCAGCATATTCCCTATTTATTTGCTAGGTGACCCCAGAGACTTTCGTGTGAACTTTTGCTAAAGACTTTTGTGTGGATTTATTATACAGTTAAAGCATTTGTCTGGTTGTTCGGTAAAAAGCCATATAAAACTTAATTGAACTGCTTCATTCACCATCTGAACCAAAGTACCAAACAACCAGACCACCCTGATGAGAAGCATGGCTGTAATTAACCTCCCCGTTCATTTCATTGCATTCCCATTGGAAAAAGCACAAACGCATTGTTTAAGTCCCTGGTGACCGCCTTTTCGGCACCCGAACACATCTTAACAAAAGAACAGCGGTGTTTGGTCGTCGAGTGTCTGGAACTCAAATCGGACACTCGACTACGCGAACACTGCTAAGACCTCCAGGGCTCCAGAAAATACAGACTGAAACTCACGAACGGCCCGCCGTTCGGTAGGATGAATCCCACGAACAAGAGGATTGTCAGCTCAGCCCTGAATGGCATATATTTTCAGGACTTTTAACGCACGAAAGGAGACCAACCGCCAGGCCAAACTGTATGGAACTAATTTCTGCTACTGCTGCCTGTGTGGTCGGTCAAAAGTTTACTTCCACATAACGCCTGAACCCCTGGTCTGATCTGGGTGATTTTTGAATATGTTGTTCACCCAGTTTAGGGGTGTACCTAGTTTGGTTGGGGTGCATCCAGAACTTGGGGAAAAATTTGTCCATTTTAATTGTTATCTGTTAAGCTGAGGGGAGGAGATGTGTGGGAGGTAACGTCTATGTGATTGGTTACTGTAATAATTATTGTGGGTGTCTCCCTCGCAGGGGAGAACCGCATAAAAGCAGGGTATGTGGAATAAAAGATCAGTTGTGCTCCTGATACTGTGTGTCATCCAGTTATTGGGAAAGGTGATGGGATATTTTTGGATTATATTGTTGATTGTGCCTGTTACTCTATTGGATCTCTTACTTGTTCCTGAGCCATACTTGGATTACCAGCGGAAATAGTCTGTGGGAAAACAGCTTTCCGCTACAAATAGCATAAAATCTAGCCTAATAAAGGTTAGTGAGGAGAACATAGAGTCCGTATGGGTTACGTTAGAATTTGGTAATCACACAGTGTAACGGAACTTCCCATATTGCGACCGAGTACCTTCCGTTGATGGACGCTTCCTAGCTTGCGCCGAGGACCACAAGTACCGCACCAGACACCACAACCACCGCAGACTCCACAACTGCCGTAGCTTAACTGGAGTCTCGCCGTCTTCCTTCCACCCTGGATCAACCTCTTTCCTCCAGGACCGTGCGGTGAAGACCTCTCCTCTAGGAGAGCGTATCAGGAACAAGCTCTTAAAAGAGCTAAGTGATTAAAGTTCAGGGGAGTATGCAGAGCATAGCAATCCCCAGTGTGAGTATAGCTGTCCCCTCCAATAACGAGACGAGGCTACGTTTTGAAGGGTATAAAAAGTGTCCCATAGATTCAATATGCCCATACACTGTTTTTAAAGGGCCAGCACTAGTCCAAATAAAAGTCCATAAGACCAAGTAATGGTTTTAAAGTGCCATACACCCCAGGGCCATAGTCATGTGGCAGGAGGCTTGCAATAAGTTCTCTCCAATGCCCAATGGCAAGGGGCACCTCGTCACACATCTCCCCTTTGGCTCTGGATGCGGATCCTCTGATGAAGTGATCCTATGATCACGAAATGCGTAAGGCAGCATCCTACGACCTTCTGTCGTTCAGTGCCTAAGTTAGTCGATCCACCCACCCACAAAAAACAGGTACCAGAGTAGCCCACCCACAACAAACAGTTACAAGAGCAGCCCACCCACAACAACCAGTTACTGCCCCTGGGTATTCCTTTGGTGGGAAACACGCTGTGGGGACTTGGGGGGGCAGAGGCCAGCTACACTCTGCCCCGATGCCAGCGCTTCTGCTGGGGTAGCCTGGCGGCTACCCCTCCTCCTGGTACTCCTGCGATGGTAGCTTGGGATCTGGACCGGCTGTCCAGCATCCCTCTGGGTCAGGCACAGAGACCACGGTCCCATCTGCGCCATCTGGGAGATGTCTCCCCTTGGTAGGATAAGCTGCTGCTGGGGAGAGAGACCGGTTGTCTCCTCTCCCTGGAACTCACTCTGCCGCTGGGGAATGAGGCCGACTACCTCCACTCCCTGTAGGGAATACTGCCGCTGGTGAGAGAGGCCAACTGCCTCCTCTCCCTGCAGAACACACTGTTGCTGAGGAGAGAGACCGGTTGTCTCCTCTCCCTGCAGAACACACTGTTGCCGGGGAGAGAGACCAGTTGTCTCCTCTGCCTGGGACTCATTCTGCAGCTGGGGAGTGAGGCCGATTATCTCCCCTCCCTGTAGGGAACACTGCCGCTGGGGAGAGAGGCAGAACCATACAAACAACCGGCAAATACCGAACAAACAGATGAAACAGTAATAATCCAAAGGCAGAGAGGTCTGCCACAACAATAAAGGGGGAAGTTATCACCATGGGTGGCTTTAATCTTCCTGATGTGAATTTGAAAACCAAAATAGCTGCTTGTGCCAGAAGCACACATATTCTAAACTCCCTACTGGGATTGTCTCTAAAACAAGTCGTTGAAGAGCCAACTCGTAAAGATTTAGTGTTAACAAATGGAGATTTGGTATCAGATATTACTGTAGGTGAAAGTTTAGGATCCAGTGATCATCAGTCACTGTGGTTTAATATAAGAACAGTGACTGAGTCACACCACACAAAAACAAAAGTTTTAGACTTTAGAAAAGCAGACTTTTCTAAAATTAGAATATGGGTAGAGGAGTCATTATCATTATCCATTATTTAAATGGAGTCCAAGAGAAATGGGATTATTTAAAAGTTGCACTATTGAAGGCAACAGAAAATTGCATTAGGCTTGTCAGTAAAAGCAAAAAATTCAAGAAACCACGGTGGTACTGTGGCCAAAATAGTTAAAAACAAAAAGTTAGCATTTAGGAATTATAAAAAAAAAACCAGAGTGAGGAAGACAAAATGATTTGTTACATGTGAGTTTACAGAGGAAGAGGTTATTTTTCAACTGTCAAAAGTAAAGTAATAAGTCAATGGGACCTGATGGAATACACCCAAAGCTATTAAAAGAGCTTAGTGGTGTACTACCAAAACCATTAACAGATTTATTTAACCAATCATTGTTAACAGGAGTAGTCCCAGAAGATTGGAAGTTAGCAAATGTTGTGCCCATTCACAAGAAAGGTAATAGGGAGGAGTCGGGCAACTCTAGGCCAGTAAGCCTTACTTCAGTAGTGGGGAATGTAATGGAAACCATGTTAAAGGATAGGATTGTTGAACATCTAAAATCACATGGATTTCAACATGAGAGA